TTGAGTCGGTTTCCTTCGTCAGCTTCCATCGTGTATACGCATAGGCATAATCCAGTTCGGTACTCGCGGACTGGATTTGATGGTTGCAGGCTCTTCGCCTCAGACACCGAAGAATCGACTCGGGAGTGGAGACGTGATCAAGAAACATTATAACAATGGCTCCCGGATTTTTTGTCAATACGTTTGAATGGGGTGATTGTGTTTTTATAAGCAATACGATATCCTTAAGAGCAGGAGACGTTGCCCGGGGGCTTGCGCCGTTGCTTCCCAGAAGCGTTGGAACTTGGAAGACTGGCAGGTTGCTGAGTTTACACAGCACACAATGAGCTGGCGTTCGCCAACTCCAGTAAGGTTGTGGAGTGATGGACCTGAACGTCTTTATCGTGCGTTAGAATGGTTACTGGGCGGATACATGTAAGGAATTCAAATTTCTACTTTCACCTTGTCCCTTCCACCTGCTATCCCGCGTGTGTTTGGCCTGGTATTCGGGCTGCCTTGGGCGCGAGCGTAACGCCGCACGCGTCGTAGGAAACAGACGTCTAACCTGCTACCAATCGAAGCTAGTATTTTAGCTGAAGCTAGAACTGCGACAAACAAAGCTGACATTTTGTCATAGGAAGAGTATAACGAGAAGGAGCTGTTGAATTTATACTGGTGTCTCTAAAGTGTGTCCAACCCTGCCCAGGCAAGCGGCGTTGCCCAGCAGTCAAAGTCCGCAGAACCTGCTCACGGCTACCCCTATAGAAAACTCAGCTTCCATGCCCTTCCACAGCCAGGACGGGTGGTCGAGGGGTAGTTGTGCGAAGACTAGCTGACGTTGACGTTCCGCGGTTAGTCGTCGTACGTACCTTTCGATTCTCGTCCTGGCCACTTTTTTTCGTATTTTTTGTCACTGTCTCAGCAACCAATTGTTGTCACCTAAATAATGAATTTACTACCCACTGAAAGGGATACGGCCATGAAGAGGTCGAGTCGGTACCAAAAAAGCCCTCCCGGTCTTTCAACCACCGAGTCGACATCGCTATTCATCGCCATCGTCGCGACGCAGGTCATACGGCGTGGCCTCTTTCCCCAACTTCCGGGGTATCCATCGCCCTGATCTCATCAGGCCTCTCCTGCCGCTCATCCTCGTGACGCTGCCACGCACGCGCAACCTCATTCGCCGGCCTCATCTTGCCCTTGGGCACCAGACGCACAGGATACACCCTGTCCCCTCACCCAAGTCCCTCAGCCGCAATATTAATTAAACTCCTTCCATAGTAGGTGCATCCTCGAAATCCATAATTGGATCCTCCGCGACATCATCCTCGTCAGGAAAAAACCGGTTCGGGCGCTCACAGTTCCGGTGCCGCCCACTCTTGCTACGCCTCCTTTTCCCCTTCTCCTCGACCCAGGTGTCCCTCGGCGGCCGCGTCTTGAGATCGAGCTCGAGATACTGCGCAAACTTACCGAAGACGCCCCCTGGCGTGTGGTCGAGCTTGCCGTTGGGGTAGACGAGGCAGTTTTCACCGCAGGGGACGTCGTGTTTGGAGTTGCGGGCGCTACGGACGGTTTGGAAGCGTGGGCGCGAGGGCCCGGGTTCGTCGGTGACTTGGCGCGGCATGGCTGATGTGTCTACGTTAGGCTTTTGTCATGATGGACACCTAGAAGCGGCTGGCGTACTTTATATGAGTAGAGACACGGCTTCAATCACTGTCACGATTCCGGCCCAGCGCCCTCAGTGACTGAATTTACGGCGCACATTCACGACAAATGTACCCGAGTGTGAGAAGCTCTTAATTGTGTCTCCTCTACGTTTTCTATCTAAGGTGCAATCTTCCATCCAGAACCGTCTGCCATCCAGTATCCGTGTAAAAGCCTTGCCAGCACTACCGTGCTGATTCCTGAAAGTAGCCCTGTACCAAACCATTCCAGAAAAACCGTTTTCGCAACCAAATTCCAAATCCCTGCGGTCAAAGAGTGACAAACTAGGCTGTCCATTAAGCGAGGATATCAATGATGATGAGTGTAGAGAGGTAATGACTGTGGGTGTTTCGCGACAGTAGGAAAAGAGGAAGGAGCCTTGACCGCGATGTGAGGGAGAAGGGGGGTCGATCCGTATTAGTCGTACAAGTATAATGTCTGCTGAAAATGCATGCCTGAAAGGAGCTGTTGATCAAAAGACCAAAGAAGAGCTGGCGACAATAGAGTCGGAGCGAAGAACAAAGGTCTGCATGCGATGCGACGTGACAAGAAAGGGCGGTGATGCAAAGCCCGAGTGGGTAGGTAATGAACGTCAGAGGGCGGCTTCTTGTGTGTGAAGGCCGTTGCCAGATAATGATGTTGGTGTCAAAGGAGTGTGGATGTGCCGCAGGGTACAGCTACAGCGACATGACAGACTGCTGGGTCCCTTTGCCATGCTGTTGGGTGAAGCGACAGAGCAATCGAGTGGATCCTGCACAAGTAAGCATGAGCTTGTGTGAGCAACAGTAGGGTAAAGTACTCACAAATTCATGCTCGCAGCTTAAGCATAGGCCGCAGCGAATTCATCAGCGACCCAGTCACCACGGACCTCGTCCACTTGTCTCAGCACACGCTTGGGGAGGGCATCGTGGAACACAGGATCTCTGTGGTACACGCTGTTATCGAGAAGATAGACAACATCCTGCAAATGGCGAGATGTGTTGAGCAGGTTCTGGGTCTGGCTCTGAGCCACACAGTAGTTCTGGTAGTGGAATTCTGCGTTGCTCTGATAGAACAGACAGTGCTGCTGCAACGCGACATTGGCCTGCTGGAAGTTCAGATTGGCCTGCTGGACAACGTTGTAGGCATGGGCCATGCGCTGGATCTCACGGCGGGCAGTCTGAGCCTCCAGACGAGCAGCCTGCAGCTCTCGAGCGAGCATGGGGCTAGCAGAGCGGCTGCGACGGCTAGGGGTAGGACTGTTCAAGATGTCGGGATCATCGAACGAGCCATCCATGCCGAAGGCAGAAGGGCGCTACAACTGTCAGAGAAGAGCAGATGAAGTGAGGGACTGAAATGAGCTTACATGGTACTGCTCAGGGGTCTGGGCACCCTCCTTCTCAGTCTGCTGAGAGGTGTGGATGTTCTTGGCGCCGGTGTGCTGAGGGTGGATGATGGCGATACCATCAGAGCCAGCGGCAGCAGAAGCGAAGCGGCCGGGAATGTTGTCAGAGGGACCGACTGGAGCAGTAGCAATGACGGAACTGCGACGGACACCAGAGTTGGGGTTGTTGGTGTGGACGGCGCCAACGCCGCCACCCTGGGCAACAGACCCGCCCATGGAGTAAGCCATGTCAGGACTGACAGGAGCCTCAACCGCAGAAGGGCGACGGTAGGCCGGCTGGGCAATCATGACCTGAGGAGCAGCGGGCTGAGCAACAGGGCCAGGCTGCTGAGAGGAAGCAGGAACGATCCCCTCGGCGACCTGCTTGCCAGGAGCGCCGGTGTAGGGAATGGTGTAGGGAGTAGCGTTGTTGCCGGAAGACATGATTGCTTCGAGTCTGGGAAGGGTAAGAATGGTGAAACAAGATATGTGGAAGTTTCCAGTGTTGATGGTGCTCACCTGGGAGGATGAAGGTGTTGCGACGGGTAGGTGGTGAACAGTGAGAGGTACAGGTGTGTTGCGAACGGAGCGATTCGACGAAGGAGATTCACAAAAGAAATCCACGCGAGGTAAGGAAGCTCGTGATGGAACAATTGAGATCTTGTTCGATGTGAACGCGAGAGGGTGGGAGGAAGATTGTGTAAGGTTGTGGAAGAAGTTGTGGTAGAGATGGTTTGTGAAGGTAGAGTAGATGGAGGAAGTGGTGGGTGGTGGGGGAGAAAGAGAAGTAAACAAAAGGTGGGTGTGGGATAGAAAGTCTTCTTCGAGGCAGAGGGTGGTGAGGGCTGAAGTGAAGAGTTTTCGAGGGCTAGCGGTTGAGGTGGTGGTTGCAGGAGGAAGCCAGAGGAAGGAGCGCGAGAGGAAGGCGCTGCTTCCTGTTCGGTTGGTCTTGCTGGCTTGGAAGAAAGAACCTTTCGCAGTCGAAAGACAGCTGCCTGAAGATGGTAGCTCTTGAACCTGCTGTCGATGGCTTTGGCTTTTCGATTCGGTACTTGGTGGTTGACGAGACAATAGGGGAACGAGAGAAAGCAGGAGGCTCAAGTTCGACGAAATTTTTTTATGTCGAATATTTTTGAGTATCAGATTTCCAGAATTGTTCTTTTGAGAAGAAATCGGCGATGGATGCTTGGAACAGCGAAACCGCTAGTATGCCCGATCTGGAAAACTACTTGGAATGGCAAGAGAGCCTCATGCTCCCATCACGTAACTGTTCTTTAGAGGTATCTGAGGCAGGTTGATGGCGGATCTGGGACGCGAAGCCCCATCGTACCACATGAAATATCTAAAGGGTTTTCGATACGAAACTGACAGTCGTTGATGGTACCACAGTGTTTCGTAGACTGCGTGAATCACTCGACTTACACCCGCTGCCATAACGGAGGAGGCAGATAGTGCGAAATTGATAGCAGCCCATGACGGGACCAGTCTTGCGGCGTCAGCGTGAGGGCAAGCAGCAAGCACGCGATCCTGTCGCATCAAATTTAATAAATCCGTATCCTCATGACGGGAACCGTTCAAAAAGTTGCGATGCGGTCAATCGAGGGCAGTCACGTGGTGTATCGCATCTTGCACCGGACGACGGGAAGGCGGCCCCACCCGGACAGCCAAGGACGGCGCTAAGGTGTGGTTTTTAGCGGCGAGCCGCTCAAGAGACGGGGTGGCCGAGTGCGCCATGGAGCTGGCCGGGGGTGTTACCTAAGGCAGGTACCGCCGGGTGGTGTCTTGGGTCAGCCCCCAGGGCAGCTCCTTCCCAGCCGTTGCATCCTGCCATCTCCAACAGCCCAGGGGAGCTGAGGGAAAAGAAAAAAGAAGTGGCTTGATTCCAATCGAGGTTCTGGCACCGACATCAACTTCAACATATCGTAGCCAGCACACCATACTTTGACTCCCGCCAATGGATCCCGTAACGCAGCAAGATAGCCCCTTATCCATCGCAGCTAACGTCGCCGGCATCCTTACTTTCATCGTAGCAATTTTTGCCGCTGTCTATGTCAGAATTACCTATTTGCGGAACAGCGACGACGAGTATTTCAGAGTTAAGGCCTCCCTGTCGTGGTTCAAGACAGAGTCCACATGGCTGTCCGAGCTCATCCGCGCTGCCGGTGAAAGACCAGGAGCCCGCCAACAGCACCAGCCAGAGTACGCGATGTATTCGTTTGTCATGGACGACCTGATCAAGCTGGAGCAGCGCATCCTCGAGCTCCTGGCTGAAGCCGAGACCAAGGCTGCCAGCCAAGACGCCGAGAACCAGGGAAACTGGACGCTCGTGCCAAGGAGCTGGACCTTCACGACCAACGTCGCCATGGCCTGGCTACCTGTTCGTTCCAAGACGCTGGAGCTCGTGCGACAGAGGGAAGCATTGACGGGACGCGTCCAATTCACACAGATGAGCATGATTTCCTCGTAGGCACTCCACCTCTACTTCGTTTGCTTCGCTGACGTTGGCACAGGAAAATTCGCGATTTGGAGTCAAAAACCATCAGGACGGAGTCGAAATCCGAAGAAAGCTTTATTCGAATGGAGAACCAGATTGCCGAGCAGAGGGCCCAGATCCATCGGCTGGAGGACCTCGTCTATCGTTTGATGCACCGGAACCGGCTTGGGAGCACAGCCGACCACCCGTGGGTAGACACGTCCAAGTCACGACGGGTATCAGCATCCTCGCAGTTGAGCCCGACGGAAAAAAGAGGCCGTGAGCGCCAGCCAAGTTCTCGGCCAGTGAAGAGGGCAAGATCAAAGTGACGAGCAGTCGGTTCCTCATTTGATGTCGTACCCTCCTTGCAGTAGGAATGCCCCTGCAACAGCCAGACTCGCCGCAGCCACCGCCAGATCCAATTCGAGTACAGACCAAATCCACAGACAACCCAGTGTCGGAGCTTGCTTAAGAGTTGCAAGATAGCTGTACTTGTTGGTGATATAGATCAAATAGCATCCGGCAGAAACGCTCGTCAGAAAGAAGATGGCCTGTCGGATGGGGTGCTGGAAACGCAGCGGAAGCCCCGGGATAACGGTCGTGCTGGAGCGGTGTTCGTGGAGGTTGTGGAAAAGGAAGAAGAGCACTGGTGGAATTCACAGTCAGTTGGATGTCCATGGTTGCATACATCAATGGCATCACTCACCAAGAAACGCGACCACAGTCCTGGTGACGACACTTGGCCATTCGATTGCGATGGCATATTGGTTCTGGACTAGCACATCAAAAGTACCATGGACCATGGCAAGGCTGACTGTCCACAGCAAGGAATCCATTATGCGGTCCACGAAGGGAGACAGCAGGGCGTCATCCTCTTCGTCCTCGTCCTCTCCGTCACTTTCATCCGTGGGCCTGTCTATGCGGACAGCACCCTTGGGGACCTGGCCGCGCTTGCTCCTCGCCTCATCCTCCTGTTGGAAAAGGCCCCTTTCTTGGGCTAGCTGGAGCAGCGTCGCCTCACTGGGCCCAGACCTGTCAGGCTGGGCCAACGGGATGTTCTTGGGATCCTTCACCTTCTTCTCCTTGATCTTCTTCGCCATGGCTGCGGCTCTGGCGGTAGCGTAGCTCCTCTTGTTTCCAACGGGGATGGTCCGGCCAACAGCTTCAGCTTCACCGTCTACGTAATCGATCGTGGATGGATGGATGAATGGGACGCTTCGGTTGGTCTGGATTGGGATGGCAGCTGCAGGGAGGCCGTCGTCTTAGTCGTCTCTCGTCGTCTGATCGCGTGCAGTTAGTCGGCTGACAAAGAGGCAGACACGCAGTCTCAAATCAGAGTTCAGCGCAAGACAGGTAGGTCCGGGTTGCTCCCCGCTGTCAGCTACTCTGTACCAATGCTGTCGCTGTCGCCAGAAAATAACCTAGGCTCTGTGCCCCTGCAGGTCATCGGATTGTTCGTGGCATGTTGCAGCTCGGATTAGCCAATCAGCGGGGGTCGCTAGCCCCTCCAAGAGGCATTAACCCTCGACACGAACTGTTCCGATCTGTCACCGCCTTCGATTTTTGGATGCGACGCACACCGCCCGCGACGCCGCCCTCAACGAGCCCAGCACTTTGCGTAGTCCACTTGTCCACGCCCACCTCACGCCGCGGTCCCAGGTCCAGGTTCCAGGCCCCAGCAACTGCGCTCAATTTCCCAGCCGATCGTGTGCCGCTACCAGTTCTTGACAAGCACCCACCCACACCACCGTCCAAACCAACCTGCTCTGCCCGCCCGCCGCCGAACCTTCCGATTCTTCTTCCATGCGACGATAACCCTTCCTGCCTCTGATATCCAGCATTTAGCAAATCTTGACGAACTCTAGCAACCTTTTTTGAGAACATTTTCGCTTCTTCCTCTGCGACCCGCCAACATCCCACATCCGCAAGCCTTCCCGAAAGCTCACGGCCGGCCGACACACGCCACACCGCATCCACGACCGAAGCACTCAACCAAGCCACCCCGCTCGGTTCTACTCACCGGCCAACCTCGAGCGTCGACCTGAAAATACCCGAAAATTGAGTTGTTGCAGGAACCGCCACCGTGAATATGGATTCTTTGCTCGTGGGGGCCCTTATTGTGGCCGTCACGCCTGCATTGTATATTTGCCTCGGCCCCCTCGCAGCGTCGCAGTTGCCCGCTCTCGAGAACAAGAGGGTCTGCCTCTTGATCGCGCACCCAGACGATGAGGCCATGTTCTTTGCGCCGACCGTCCTCGCTCTTACGCGACCGGAGACGGGCAACCATGTCAAGATTTTGTGTCTGAGTTCAGGTAGGAGAAGAATGATCACCGCGGGGTGCGACAGGTGGGGCAATCGAGCGCAATGGCTGACAAGGGGGGTAACCGTATAGGTGACGCCGATGGCCTCGGAGAAACTCGCAAGAAGGAGTTGGTGAAGAGCGGCATGAAGTTGGGCTTGCGCCAGGAGCAGGATGTTTTTGTTATTGACAGCCCGTAAGTCTTGGGCCCACCCGGCTGCGCTCACCAGCCTCGTGTGCGACAACACAAACTGACTAGTTTCTGCAGTGATTTCAGGGACTCCATGACCGCCACCTGGGATAAAACCAAGGTCGCTACACTCCTGAACCGCGCCTTTGCGCCTCACTCTGCTCGCCAGCGAGCTGCTGGCGAGGAACCGGATGCCAACATCGACATCTTAATCACTTTCGACTCGACCGGAGTTTCTTCCCACCCGAACCACATCTCTCTCTACCATGGTGCCCGCACCTTCATCTCCACTTTGACCGATAACGGCCGCTGGCGCTCGCCCGTGGACATGTACACACTGACTTCAGTAAACTTCTTGCGCAAGTACAGCACATTCCTCGATGCGGTACCAACAATTCTATCATGGGCGATCACGCCAGGAAGTAACCCGCCGAAGCCGCCAAAGAAGCTACCGAAACCCAAAAAGGAGAAGGAAGATAGCGACGACGATTCCGACTCGGATGAGGATGAGTCGGACATTGAGTACCACCCAAGCCGGCTGGTGTTCATGAACAATTTTGGTCCCAAGGGTGGATATTCCACGGCTTGGGCCGCCATGACCATGGCGCATAAGAGCCAGATGGTCTGGTTCCGGTACGGCTGGATCACCCTCAGCAGATACATGGTCATCAACGACCTACGATTGGAGAAGGTCGAGGACATGCCTCCGGTCGAGATGCCGGTGATCGAGGCGCCGCCGGAGGCCAAGCGATCCGAGAGCAAGCGGTCCGAAACCAGGCACCGCGAGAGGAAGCACTCTGAGTCGTCTAAAAAGGAGGAGACCAAGGAGCGGGAGTCCAAGAGGTCTGAGAAGTCTGAGGGCAAGCAGCGTGAGAGCAAGAGGGAGGAAACAAAGCACCGCGAATCCAAGAAGGACGAGACGAAGCACCGCGAGAGCAAGCACGCCGAACCCAAGAAGGAGGACACTAAGGAGCGAGAGTCAAAGAAGGAAGACACCAAGGAGCGCGAGTCTAGGAAGGCTGAGAAGGCTGAGAAGGCCGAGAAGGTCGAGAAGACCGAGAAGGCTGAGAAGTCCGAGAAGCGGGAGGGCAAGCAGGTCGAGTTCGCCCCTATCGAGTCGGTCGAAACCAAGTTCTTCGAGGTGCCAAAGGAGGAGACCAAGGAGCGCGAGTCCAAGAGGTCGGAGAAGCGTGAGAGCCGGCAATCGGAGTCCAAGAAGGAGGAGAAGGAGGATGCCAAGGAGCGTGAGGCCAGGAAGGCCGAGAAGGCCGAGAAGCGTGAGCGTGAGCGTGAGCGCGAGCGTGAGAGCAAGAGAGAGGAGAAGGAGGATGCCAAAGAGCGCGAAGCCAGGAAGGCCGAGAAACGTGAGCGTGAGCGTGAGCGCGAGCGTGAGAGAGAGCGTGAGCAGAGGCACTCTGAGAAGCGCGAGAGCAGACACTCCAGCAGCAGACACTCTTCGAGTGGACTTCCTGGAGCCAGCCTCCCCGACGCCAGGCGCTCCGAGCCCAGCTTGAGACACCCTGCCGGCAGCCTTCCCGAAGCCAGCCGCTCCGAGAGCAGACTTCTCGATCCCAGACACTCTGAGAGCTCTCACCCCCCGTCCAGCAGCAGATACGTCGAAGGCAGACACTCTTCGAGCAAGCGCTCCTCCAGCAGACACTCCGAGAGCAGCAGAATCTCCTCTAGCAGCCACTCTGAGCGCAGACACCGCGACAGCAACCGCGACGGACACCGCAGACGTTCCTCCAGCAAGGTCTCCAGGACCGGCAGCGAGAGATCCTACGCCAGCAGATCTTAGGGAAATCGACAGAACAGCCATGACGAGTCACGAAGGTAAGGGATGAGGACCAAAAAAGAGAAAAAGAGAGAGTCGCATATACCACCAGAGAAGAAAAGTCGAAAAAAAAACGGCACCATCATACCCCCTCCGTCCAACCCACCCACACCATCCCCTCCACCACGTTCATGAGCAGGCGTTCGTATCATGAAGCTTACGCATGTCTTTTTTTTTCTTTTTCTTGTTTTTCATCTGGCTTTTCCTGATTTTCTTCGCGGCCCACGACACGACAACGACAAAAATCACCACACGATATATGCAGAGAAAAGCTTTTACAAAACCCGAAGAAAAAAGATTCCCCTCCAAGAGAAAAAAAAAGAGAGAGAAAAGGTCATCTAGCGTTGGCGGCTAAATTGAAAGACAAAAGAGAAAATACACCGACGGCATAGCATCATGTATGAACCGAACAGATCTGTAGGAACGAATATTGTTAAAAATCATTTTGCGTCCCTGTTGAATGCGTACGTAACAGGCATCCTACAGCAGTCCAATCGCGACTCTCAATTGTCACTTTGGCAAGGTCACTCAGACGTGGTGACATGCTGGAAATTTTGATCTCAGATTCGACTCTATTTAATGTGCATATGGTCCTCTATCCTTTATGCGACAACTGCCATATATGCAACCTATCGTGCCTCACCAAAGCAGGCTCCTCAGCACTAGCCTCT